TTCATAGGGGTTCAAAATTGACACGAATTAAGTAATTTTAAACTTTCTTTCTCGAGGGATAGTTTGAAGTGTGCTCTAATCGGAAATGGAAGCAGATTATATCTGTCGATAAATTTGACGCGTTCCAACGGGTTGGAACATTAAAAACTAAAAATCGGCATAAACTTTCCGAACGACCCATATTAAGAAACATATCCAACCAATCACAAAGCACCACTTTTGCCGTTTAGGCAAAGTTTAACCTTCGGACAGTCAAAAGGACGGTTTTTCATTGGACACCGCTATTAGTGTAAACCCGACTTCGATAAGATTAATTTTATATTTACAAGATTATATAAATATGTGAACTGACTATAATACAGTATTTATTTTTTATGTGTTTATGAAGATTTATTATTTAACGTTTTATAAAGAAATATGGAAGAACGATATATAATTTTTTTTTATATACTAAGAACAATTTTAGGGGGAAAAAAGCATGAAAAAGTGGAAAAATAAAAATAAAAATATGAAAAAAAAATATTTTTATTCAAAAATCTTTGTCAGGAAAATAGAAAAATTTAAATAAAAATATTATTCGTCTTGGAGCAATTGGTAAACCGTCCTGGGTATGACGATAAACTACATCCGACAGCAAGGCCTCTGATCAGGGGGTTTTGAGGAACGGCGAAGCACCTCTTAATTACTGCTGTTCCCAGGTCCACCTTCACCCGGGGTGGTAGAACTTGTCAGGGTCCCAGCTATGGGCAAATAGTTAAACTGGGGTCAAAACACTATGAAAGTGTAAAAATAAGTATTAATAACAGAAATAATTTTTTTGTAAAAAAAGATTATTATGAGCAATAAAGTTTTGGAAAAAAAGGAAATATTACTAACAATAAAAATTGTCGCTATTACATAACCCATTGAGGTGTTGATATGCCAAACCAAACCAAGCAATAGGGGATATTGATTTTTTTGTTCAAGTTCATTCTTATCCCAACTCTGAATACTTATGTCATCAGCAGCATAGCCCCCCGCCCCTTGTCATCAGTACCCTGGTTTCGTTAGGGTAAATTGAAATGGTCGTCTACGGGGTTCACTCGCTCGAAGCCATTTTATTCAATGGGCTGAGAAAGCGGTTGTATACAATTGACATTTTAGACAATTTTGGACGAGATGGACGCCATATATGGCATCAATATGTCGGTCTAAAACTATTTTTTTTAAATCGGTATCACCTCATACAAGGAGGTAAAGCCACTAAGACACAAGGGGTGAGAGGGCGAGGAAGGATTAGGAACAGAAGCATTAATAATGAGCAAACAGAAGGACAGTTGACAGCGATTGACATTGCATTTAAATCCTTGCAGCCGGAAGGGATTTCCACAAGCGAAAAGTGCGGGAAAAGAAACTGTTAGCATAGAACTCACGGTCATATCTAGCCAGCTCAACTACAAATTGATAAAATCGTGACATCCACTAGTACTTCGCTTAAATTCATAAAGTCTTAGTAGGAAAGCGAAAAGCTCATCCGAATAATTACCATTAAAGTATTTATAGAAAAGGCATAGAGAGGCAAGCTTACGGCGGTGCGAAAGTGACTGGAGCCGAGATGCCAGATCGGGACCAATAATATTGGTGATTCTTCTTTGGATTTTATCAAAGAGCTCAAGGTAAATAACAGAGGCAGCGGATCATATATAGCAGTAATATTCTAAGCGTAGATGAATGGTGGACTTACAGATATGTAAGATAGATTCTGGAGAGAAGGGCACCTCCAGGTGGTGTAATGGTTAGCAAGCTTGTCTGCTAGAACAATTACGACTGAGTAGTGAGTTCGATCCTCACTGGGTGCCCCATACTTTCGGCTTTGTTGCTACATCTAAGCTACGCTTGGAAAATCACTAGATTCTGGAGAGAAAAATTATCTCACACGACACAATGAACCGACTTTCCTATCAGCTAGCCTAGCAGTAGATTCAATATAGTCTTTCTACGTCAGTTGATAACGTTAGCCCGAAAAGAGGGGTCACTTTCCTTGAGGTTAGCATCAGCCACGCTGATGGAAGACAGAGAGGAGTCTCTCCGATGATTAATGGTGGGAAGTTTAGTTTTGGTGGCGTTAAACAATTTAATAAGCCATCATTTGCCCCAGTGAACGACGGAGATATTTAAAATAATAACTTGTTTTGTAGTTACCAATTCATTGTAGCCGTTCACAGTAGATACGCTCAGCTTCAAAGATCCCTCTCCCGAGTGGTACCTTAACCAGGATAAAAATGTGAGGATAAACGTTAAGTCTTGACGCCTGGGGTACCCTAATAAAAAAAAAAAAGTCGAAAAAAATTTGAAGGCCAATTCATATAACCGAGGAAATCTTTAAACCAGGATTCGTCCGAGACATTCTTTTTACAAACATTTACCCATTATAAGGCTGAAGAGCCACCCATGCTAGAGGATTACTGAATGAGGTAAAAACTATAAAGTCGAAAGAATGAAGTGAGGATAGGGGTGGATACGGAGCATAGATAACGGCTGAAGGCTAAGGCGGATAGACAATCCCTGATGTAGGTGAATGATCAGGCACATTTATTTTTGTTCAAAACTCGGAGAGCCAGCCTGTCGTTTATACTGCAGCTATACGTATTGTAACTATGTTTAGTCACATTTTCTCGGAGAGAGCGTATAACCTGAATAACAGATTGAACAAGGCAAATAGACTCAAAATCTCGGCCACGATGACTTGTTACTTCATGCTCGCTTAACTATCGACGGATTCTGAATTGTTTCGTCGCCCCAATTTCACTCACAAGGCTTGGTTTTCAGTCACTTTCCAACGTGGTGGAATCAGCTAGAATTTATATGAAGTCGGAGAAAAAAATATTTATATATTTTAAATATTTACGAGTTTTCAAACGGAATCACTTTGAGATTTATGCAATAGATGTCAGCAATTTGAATGGAAACAGGATTTTTAAATAAATATATTTAACGTCATTTTCTTTGAGAATCATAAAAAATCACTTCTATGTTGATATTTACATTTTAATATCCTGTAACATTCCCTTCCCTATATTCTCCACCCTTAATATCTATCTGCAGGCAACACACTCGGGTGACCTGGTTGAAAATTCTGACAGGTGTGTTGAACTGTCGATCTTCCTAGATGATAAACAACCCTTGATTTGTCCAAACAAACCTTTAAAGCGAAGCAATCCTAAGAAAAGGAGAAATCCAGAATACATTGTTGGTGAATACAGTCTTGACAACACAAGGTACCCAGATGACATTGTGTTGATGGCGGACATAGAAAGCAAACTGCAGTAAATCCTAAAGAAGGCAGGAAGAAAAACGAACCTTTAATTGTAAGAAAACAGAATGCTTGCTTTTCAAGTAAGAGAAAATGCGAGCTACGAATTGGATAGATCAAAATCAAGGCCTAGAAGTTTGAATTGCTCGGAAATGATTTAACCTCGTCGTGGACACACACTCAAATCCGAGCATTGGGATCGTCATCCCCTCTCCTTATTCTCTTCGGATCCACTTGTGGCGGAGATGACTCAGCCTACTCCTGCAGAAGTCACAGAGGAGTTAAGGTGGTGGATACGCCTGAGCGAGTCGGATTTTCTTGACAGCACGTCACAGATTCTTCTCTTCTTGATGGTTGAACTCAAAAATATCATCCCATCCCCTTACGAGCTTTAATGACAGAAGAGGGTTTAGGAAGGATAGTAAAATGACAAAATTTGCCAAGAGCTACAAGGAATAGGAAGCCGTGGAAAGCCATGATCAGATACGGAACAAAATAACACAGGGAAAGATTTTCTTTGATTTCGTCATTATTCGCGTCTAAAGATATTTATGGAGGGGAGTAGACGTCCGTTTAAATTCAAAAGAATAAAGAACTTTACCTAAGATGAAGTGGAAAAATCACTTATGGCAGATGATATTCAGAATAAAAATTAAAAAAAAAAAAACGCTGATCTCTCTGGAGACATTTGCGAATAATTGACAAGGAGCTTCCTTCTGAAAGCGTAAAATTTAAAGGATTACATATACAGGGTGCGGCAAAAATACCTCCTACATATACCTCCCAGAAATACCCCTCAAAGAATGGTAAGACATAAGCGGCAATTGTGTCTTCATTTAGCTAATGGGTTACCATTATGTGGAAGGTATTTCCGGGGGCTATAAGTGGGTGGTATTTCTGGGGGGCTATAAGTGGGTGGTACGTCTGGGGTCTATAAGTGGGTGGTATTTCTGGGGGTTATAAGTGACCGGTATTTCTGGGGGGTTATAAGTGGGTGGTACTTCTGGGGGCTATAAGTGGGTGGTATTTCTGGGGGGATATAAGTGGGTGGTATTTCTGGGGGTAATAAGTGGATGGTATTTCTGGGGGCTATAAGTGAGTGGTATTTCTGGGAGCTATAAGTAAGTGGTATTTCTGAGGCCTATAAGTAGGTGGTACTTCTGGGTGGGCTATAAGTGGATGGTATTTCTGGGGGTTATAAATGGGTGGTATTTCTGGGGGCTATAAGTGGGTGGTATTTCTGCTGCATTCTGTAAATCTATCTTCCTGAGGGGAATCGAAATTTTATTCTTTTTTCCATCATGGAAATAATGGTTGGAAAAGGGAGCGAAACGGGAAAAAAGTCAAAGAGAAGAAGAGAGAGGGAAAGAGAGTAAAAAGAGAAAGAAAAGGTAAAAGGGGGGAGAGAGAGATGAAGAAGAGAGGGAACTTGAAAGGAAAGAGGGTGAAGAAGAGAGAGGAATAGAGAGTAAAAAGAGATAGAAAAAAGTAAAAGGAGAGATGAAGAAGAGAGATAAATATTCAAAGAAAAGAGACTGAAAAAGAGAGAGGGAAAGAGAGTAAGAGAGAAAGAAAAAGTAAAAGGAGAGGAAGAGAAAGAGATGAAGAAGAAGAGAGAGAAATACAAAGAGAAAAAGAGAGAGGTTAAGAAAGTAAAAAGAGAAAGAAAAAGTAAATGAAGAGAGAGTTGAAGAATAGAGATAAATATTCAAAAGAAAGAAAGTAAAAAAGAAAGAGGGAATGAGAGTAAAAAGAGAAAGAAAAGGTAAAAGGAGAGAGAGAGAGAGAGAGAGAGAGAGAGAGAGATGAAGAAGAAGAAGATGAATAGAGAGTAAAAGGATAATGATTTGTAGTCAAAGGAATAACGAAGTGGAATTTTGAATTGACTTCAGCTGGAAAAAATATTCCGAGATTTTCTCTTACATGGATTTTTCTTTGAGGGTGAGAGGATAAGTTTCATTGTTTAAGAAAATGTGATGTGATGGACCAAAATGGTGATAATTTTCAGGTTCAGCGTGAAAAAAATAGCCCAGAAACATGTGTCCATTGCCCAAAAATATTTGTCTCGAAAAAATGTCGACAGGTGTTGTTATTACTTACAACAGACAATATTAAAGTTAGGGAGAAAGAAGAAATTTTCATAAAACTCCATTTTTTTTTTTTTTGTAAAATTTATAATGTTACTATTCATTTTGTAAAATTCTATTATGTTTTAAGACTTTAGCCAAAAAAAAAAAAAATTAAATTGTGACCTAGCCGGAAATGAAATTAGTGCCACAATATGTTTCAATGAAAGGTCAAATCAGAGCGGATATTGAAAATATTTGGTAACTAATCAATAGTCGATAGTTAACACATTGTGTGGACATTTGGTGTAATAGTTTAAAGCAAGTATAGTCCACTTCAAACAAGCACTGTATGCTTAAAACTAGTACTGCCTGATTAAAACTATTAAATTTTTTCAAGGTAATTTTTCAAAATAATTATATTTTTTATTGTACATACTTGTTTTTTCGTCAGATTTATTCCAAAATACGTAACGGCGTCAAACCAGCATGCACATATTTATTTGTTGGATATACGGTCATCTCAATTTTCAGTCATACATATAACATTTTACAATGAAACATCAACATAGACACGTCTCCGAACAAGTAGTTGCCAAATATCCGAGATATTTGTTTATAAAAAATATTCTAATGTAAAGTGAATATATATATATATATATATATATATATATATATATATATATATATATATATATATATATATATATATATATATCTTGTGTTATATTTACATTTATTTAATAATGTTGTTATAATGTATCATAAATGGTTATTATTTTTCATACACATAATATTTGGAATATAATAGGCAAGTGATTGTTCATATAATCGGGTTGATATAAATATGTGTATCGAAAAATAAATACGGAATTTACTATTTAAAATGCTGTAAAAAGAAGGCCCGAGCTAAAGAACCTCTTGTCTAATTCGAGTTAAATTTGGCACATAGAAGAATTGATGTTACATAGCAGTTCCACACACTTTACTTAGTTTCTAAGAATATTTTCATTTCTCAAAACTTTGCTTAGCTTTTGGAAGGCATCTTTCGCTATTCCAATGCGTTCTCGGATTTTCCGTTATCTAAAAAGGAGTAAGACAGGAATGTGCCTTCTCACCTGATTTAGTCACCCTTTACAGTCAGGCGTTTTTGAGAGAATTAAAAGCCCTACCAGGATTCATTATTGGCGGCTACAATCTTAATAACGTAAGATATGCCGATGACAATAGTGAAGGATAGTTGGAAGAAAGGACTAAACCTCAACTGCAAAAAGATGGAATCCACGGTTGTTAGAAAGGGAGCAACCTAACGTACAAATTACAAATTGGAGATGCTAAAATCAAACTAGAACAAATTTTTAAAAATCTAGGAAGTATTTTAAGAGGACGGAAAGTGCGACACTAAAATCCGAAGGTGAATTGGAATAAAGAAAAAAAAAGCCTTCCAAAAGCTAAGCAAAGTAAAAGGTGTTCCAGTAAGTGGACCGATTTTAAATGTGAATTATGTTTAAGCGTCTAATGATTTTTTTCTTTTTCTTTCAGATTTAATAACTTACGTGTTTGGCAATTTCAACCATGGAAAGATTAACAATCAAACAACGTGTTAAAGTTATCGAAGCCTATTACGAAAATTGACGTTCAAACAGAAATGCAATGAAAAGTTCCCAGGTCACGTCATCTCTCGAAATAGCAAAGTCAATTGGTCACAACGATCGTGCGACTTGACGTCTTTAGATTTCTTCCTTTGGGGTCATCTCAAAAGTAAGGTCTATGCCAACAAGCCAACAACAATTCAACAGATGAAGGATGAGGTAATAACGCATATTGGTGAGATCGAGAAGCAACTATGCAGTGACGTCATCAAAAATTTTAACCATCGAGTGGAGGTGTGCCGCCGAAGCCTTGGCGGACATTTGGGCGATATTATTTTTCACACATAATTGCCATGACTTAAATAAAATGATCCAATAGAGAAATAAATACATTTTCACCAATAACTATGGTTTATTTACTGCTCACTTTGATCCGTCTTAATGAAACACCCTTTATTAAGAAAAAGGGGAAAAATCGTTAGAAACAATGAAAAGAGTACTGAACTATTACGTCAATTCTTTTATATGGAAGTGAATACTGGACAATCACGTCATAGAGGAAGAGGAGACTTGGGGGCAGCAAAAATGTGGTTCTACAGTAGGATACTGAGGATACCACCGACCGAACATGTGAGCGACGACAAAGAAAGAGACATTTGAAAGTTCTAGAGAACATAATGAGGAAAGAGGGCTGGGAAAATCTGATACTCACAGGAGGCAAAAAAGACAATGGGAAAACAAGTGAGCTTGAGTAAATGGATGGCGAAACAGGGTTTAGGAGAAATAACAAAAAGACAAAATTTATTAAGAGCTACAAAGGACAGGAAATTGTGGAGAGCCATGATCAGCTACGTTCTAAAGGTATACAGGCTATAGAAGAAAAATGTGCTATGAGTAAATGTATAGCGGAATAAGGTTTAGGAGAAATAACAAAAAAAAAATTAAGAGCGACAAAGAACAGGAAATTGTGGAGAGCCATGATCGCCAACATCCTGAAGGGATGAGACACATAGAAAAAGATTGGAACACTTCTCAGACATTTAAATTTCTCTACTTTCCAATTCATATCTCGTATCTTCCGGTTTTTTTTTTTTTTTTTTTTTGCCTTTTCTTTTTTTGCTGTCAAAAACAGGAGTTCCTGCAGTTTTCTTCATATGTCTGCCATCCCCACGGTACCATCTATCTCATATTGTTAAGGTTGTGTCCGCCATTAATCAATCCTGACAGAACATATAGTTCTCTTAGGATGACCCCGGTATAAAGGTTAAATAAATCTTATTACAAGACGCATACTTGCACTTAAGTCCCTTTATAGTTTTGTATCTTTTCTCAATTCATTTTCTTTCTGTACACAGTGAGTAAACCTGAGCAACGGTTTCTGGAGGCCGTGCGCTACCCAAACTACATGGCCTCGCTCTCAGTCGTAGCGACAAAGCCCAAAGGAATACAGGGCATTACATTTGGTGACGGCCTGGCAGCAGGAGTTGCTGAAAAGTTGTCATTATTGACAACAACCTGCCTTCGAGGCTCCACTCCTGAGTTTTCTGTGTGGGTATACTTCCGTAGTCTTCTCTGTGTTTGAATATGACCGCAAGGCAATAAAGTTTTAAAATCAAAGTTTTCCTTGAACTGCCTTCCTGCGCAGTCAAGCTCCATCTAACCCAAGCAGCTGGTCATGAGGCGCTAGTTTTCCGTCTGCGCTCATTCTCCAGCTTGGAGCGGGACTTTGTTTTCAGAGGCTATTTGAGACAAATGCCCGGAAACATATTATTGACAGTGGAAGCTTATCCCCCATTATCCCTCCCGGCTATGACAACATCCAGAGCATATATAAAATACGTATATACACATTATACATCACGTATTTTAGAAATTCAAAACAAATTAACAGTTATAACTATATATCGTGGTTTATTCTAATATGTTTTTCACATAAACCCAGTTTACCAAGCAGTTTGTGTAGTCTATAAAACATTGATATATGTCCTTCTGCATTTTTATTTTGGGCTTTCTGATCATAAAGATTCCATTACTTGTTCCAGTGTCTTCTACAGAGCCACATTGTTCTTGTCCCATTTCCGGTCTATTTCTGCTAAACTTTGTATTCCTCGGAATCTAGATGATAAACTTAGTTATATGGATAATTAAGCTGTTGTTTGATGGAACTAGCAACAATAAGCGATCAGCTAAGGTTTTCTGGTATTTCATCACTATCGTTTATAATCTCTGTAATCTTCTCGTTACCGAAATCGTCTAAGGCTGATTCTTCTTCTTCTTCTTCTTCTTTGTCGTGTTCATTCAGGACATGGGCAACTATGGCTCTCCACAATTTCCTATCTGTTGCAACGCGTAATAACTTACGTTTTTTCTCTATCTCTCCTAATCCCTGTTCTGCTAACCATTTACACAATTTCATTAGGTTAGGTTATGTGCTGGTTTCTTTTGTTCCTATTGCCCCCAATATATCTTGTGAGTGTCAAATTTACCAAGCCTTCTTTCCTCATTATGTGTCTTAGAAATGTCAACTCCCTTTCTGATGCGACATATAAGCGTTCTTTTTGTCTCAGTCCGCGGTATTCTAAGCATCGTTCTGCAGAATCATATTCATATCGCCTCAAGTCTCTTCCTCATATGTGAAAGGACTATCCAGCATACACAGCCATTCGGAGGACCGATATTATATGACATTTCAGTACTTATTTCTTTGTTTCTAACGATATTTTCCTGTTTGTTTAATATTTTGTTTAGCTTCTGAAAGACATTTTTCGTTCTCCCAAAGCGTTATCAAGTACTTCCTAGATTATTTACACTACTTACATTTTTCGGACTGTTGTCTTCATCTTCGTTGGCATATTTACGACTTTTCAGCCGTTAGACGCTCCAGCCTTCTTCAGGTGATTGGAATTTCGAACTGAACTCTTAATTTCGTCCACCTGATGAAGGCTGGAGCGTACAACGGCCGAAACGTCGTGAATATGGCAACGAAAATGGGGACAACAGTCCGAACAATGTAAATAGAGTAAATGTTTACAATACCTCATTTCAGAAATATAGACAGACCCTGAAGAAGACCGAGGCGTATAACGGCCGAAATGAGGACAAGTTCGAACAATGTAAATAATTACAATAGCTCATCTCAGAAATATAGACATACTTATTTGATAAGTACAGTTTTACACTCGTTTAAATTTGGTATCATCAATTGGTATGTTGGTCTTTTTCTTTTGC